CATCGTTTTTACCAGCAGTTGAGATTGCTCTAAAGCAGAAAATGATGCGAGATGCATAAAATCTGGCCTTGGAGAAATTATGCGTTATTATATACATGAAACTGATGTTTCACACATTTCAGATCTGAATCTATACAAAAATGTCTTAATGGGAGCCTCTCATTCAGACGTCATTTTCACTGGCCGGCACCTGTCGCAATTTCGAAAAAAATTTGTTCTGAAGAATTGCCGATAGCAGATCAGAAACAAACCGATCCGTCAACAAAAGAACACAGATGATTGTTGTAATTTATTAATTATTAATTTTATGCTTGTTATTTTCTTGTATCACGTAGGGTGCAGTGAGTTGCAGCTTACATTTCAAAGGCATTCCTAATTTTGTGAAAGAAACCAACGCTACAGGTTTGTATTAACACGACTACGGGTCAGATATTATCAGATTTCATGTTTCATTCACCCTCTGCGTGCATGGTGGTGGATTCATGCTGATGAGTAAGTAACAAGTTTGCAATTGCATTAGTGACATGGACTCTAGCGATGAAAGAGCAGAATTTGCATTTTTGGTTCTCATGCACTATGAGTCACTAACAGCGCCACAAAACTCGTTTTTATGCAGATTTAACTTCTGGGTGGCACTCATCTTCTTATCACCCACCAGAGACTAGTGCTCGCTCGACGTCAGTCAAACGCTACACTCAAAGTTTCGTTTGTTTGCTCCCATCGGTTTAACTCTTTCGTAAGTGCTAATGCATAAAAATAAGGTCTTTTTGATTCCGTACTTTTAGGCAGAAGAAAAGTGCTGAAACACCTGTCGAAAGACGATTTATTGGACCAGTTTCATGCCGGGGGGTAGGGATATCGGTGTCGTGGACGTTGCAAGAAACATCAGCTCAGCGAGTTAAGTTTTCTTGGTAGCCTGGAAGTGTTGAATTAGAGGGTTTGTCCCTTTTTCCCTCTCCTTCTTTTGTTTCTCATTCATATTTTCCTCATTTTTCTATTCCTTGCATTTATTTTTCGTTTTCTTTTTTCTCCTTCTTCTCCTTCACGTTGTCGTCGTTTTTTCTTCTTTCCTGCTATCCGGTTTCATTCATCTTTAACTGTCACCACTTTTCTATGTTTCTCGCTTTGATTCTCATTCTGCGCTCCGCACGGTCATCAATTTTCCATCCTTTTTTCTTGTCCGCCTTCACTGTCTACTACTTCAAATCTTTTTCCTCGTCCTTTTCTTTTGTCTTTTGCACCATTCTCTTTGACCCTATTATTCTTGTGCTCTTCATTCATCTTCTTGCCTTTCCCTTACATATCTCATTTTCGTCTATCTTCTCTTTTTGCTTCTGTTGCTACTCATCCTTGTCCTTTTTCTTTCATTTTATTCCCATTTTTATTGTTTTGACCCTTCTCTTCTGCTTCCACTTCATAAATTTTCTTATTTTCATTTCTAGATCAACTGTGTTATCTCATTTGCCTTGAATAATTAATTATTTTATTAGTTAGATTAGTTAGACTCTCATCCTTAAGACTGACCGGTAAAAAAAATGCATATCACCCGGACGGCACTTCTCGCACAATCAAAGCCTGTCGTCGCCTGCTTCGAACTCGTTCCACACGTTAAGTCGCTTTTTCAAACACCGAGAAGCACATAATGGGACACAGTGATTGACAATTGCTGGCCGCTAGACAAGTGCTAAATATTTCGTTCCGTTTAGCATAATATTTATGCGATAAAAAATTTATTCTTACTTACTGTTTGTTGTACTGTTGCTTTATTGTCTTAGCCTATGGTGATTCTGGTGACGGGAAATGACAATAATGTCATATATTTTTATCTAAAATTGTAAAATGACCTGAAAAATGTTAACAGGAGAAACATAGAAACATGAGACATAAGCATACTGCAACCTTGAATTGGGATATATATCCGAGTGAAACACGAAATTGTTTGTAATTATGTCGAAGTTTGGTAAACTTTGGTATTAAATGGCAGCCCTGAAATTCCGCACATCCTAGGGAATTCCAGCTGGATAGGTGAATCAGGCTTTTTTTATTTCCTGGAAGCATGATGCATGACTTTTACTTGATAAGGCTGTCAGGTTAAGTCAGCGGCTTCGTAGAAATTTCAATGTATAAAAAATTCTTTAATAAGTGTTTTCAGCTTGGAGTTGTGCAGGTCCAAGTTGAAGTCGTAGACCATAGCATTTTGAACGGTCCTCAGCACGAAGCCGCTGAACGATGCGACGTCGATTTCCGGAATAGGGATGCCCAGCTGCAAAATGCTATTAATTTCGTCTTGAACGATCATCTTCAGCACGTCGCCGATCAGATCAGCTCCGAAATCGCCGATGTCCATATCATTTCTCGGCGACAGATGGACATCGGTGATGGTCAGCTTGCCGACCATCGTTCGGTCGTACATCTGCAGGTTGAGTGTCCCCTTGGCGGAGATGGTGAACGACAGCAAGCTGTTGTTCTGACCCTGGAAGCGGTAGTCGATGGCCGCATCGTCCAAGTGAACGCGGATTCCAGTCTTATCAACGCTGATGCGCGGCGGTCGCATGAAGTTCAGCAAAAGCTCTCCATCATTCGCTTCGTGACCGGCGGTCACTGAATCCGGAAGCAGCAGCCCGATACACGATAGGTCGTCATCGCATCTTAGCCTCAGCAGGTCTCGCAGCGACTTTGACTCGTTGACGCTGACCTTCAGTTTCAACCCGCCATTTTCATGCACGTAGTAGAACAGCGTGTTCACGACATACTGGTTAACGGCGACGTTGATCATCTTGTTGTAATTGCAGGGAATGGACAAGGTGGACGACGACGACGAAGACGACGCCAGGGGGTCGACGGCGAACGGTGGCGGCGGATGAGCTTCGCTGGTGATGTCCACTGAGACCAACGTCTCTAAATAGGCGTACTGGTCGACACCGACCACGGTCGGTTTGTGCATAAGAGCGAATTTGAACTCTATGCCGTTGATGATGGCCGTCAGCCGTTCGACCAGCTGCTGGTAGTCGCCGCTGGTTCTTCGCACATGCAGCATCGGGTCGTATGTGCCTATGTATTTGCTGGGTTTGGCTGTCTGGAACGACGTTGGCAAGTTGCGGATGAAGC